GTGCTAGAAATATAAAATCTCAGTCCTCAACCAAGACCTTCTGGATCAGACCCTCTGGGAGTGGGGCCCAGACACCTGTGTTGTGACTGGCCCCGTGGGGGTTCTGAGGCTCCATCCAGTCCACCAACCCCTGCACAAATGTGGCACCCTGAAGAGCTGTCAGCCCGGCTGCAACTGAGCCGTGTCTTTCAATTCCTGCTCCAGAACACACCATTTGCCACTGTCTGGCAAGCCCGCCCACACAGGCCAGCTCAGTTCAGGCCTCATCTTCATTCCCCAGACACATGTGAATGCTGGGGCGAGGGAGTGGTGCCCAGTGATTAGGATCCAGGGCTCTAATACCAAAGACAGCGAGGCTGAAGCCTCAGCTCCTTCAAGCTGTGTGACCTTGGATAAGTGCCTTAACTTCTCTGAGCATTTGTTTCCTTATCCATAAAGTGGGGATAATAACAGTCCCTAATTCATAGGTTGATTGTCAGGGTAACAGGAGATTATGTAAAAGGCTTTCAGCATAGCTCTTAGCATACAGCAAGTGCTCAAGAAATAGCTGTGTGGTTTGAAGGCTATTATCTAAAAAGTTTGAGGGAGAGGAATTCAATGATTAATCCCTCACATTTGTACAATGCTTTAAAATTCGTTTGCATAATGACTCTGGAGGGGCTTATTTGTAGCAGATACATTGGTGTCCGTCCCGGACCCCCTTAACCAGGCTGGTGCACCCACCAGCTGCCACCTGTGTTGGCTGCTCACAGCTCACAGCTGCAGTCTCCCCTAGGGAACTGCCCTTGGCTGGGGGGAGCCGCCTCACCTGGGCATGCCTGGGACGTCATACCCTTCACTCCTGGGTGGGGTACCACTGACTGACTGATCTGAGCGCAGGCCGCAGACCTCTGGGTGGGACGATCTCGGTGGGACAATTCACGCTCCAGAGTCCTCCGTGGGGTCAGATTTCAGCAGAAACCTCATCCTCCCTTAGCTTGTCCCCTGCCTTGTCCTCCTTCCCTCCCTTCCCAATGGGTTTCTCTTGAGAGTACTTCCTCAATAAATCACTTGCACAAGAATCTTCATCTCATTTTTGTAGAAATAGAAAAATCCATCATAAAATTCATACGGAATCTCAAGGGACCCCGAATAGCCAACACAATCTTGAAAAATAAGAACAAAATTGGAGATCTCACACTTCCTGATTTCAAAACTTACTGCAAAGCTACAGCAATGAAAACAGCGTGGTTCTGGCTTAAGGAAAGATATATAGACCAATGGAATAGACTAGAGAGCCCAGAAATAAACCCTCGCATATACGATCAGATGATTTTTGATGAGGGAGCCAAGACCATTCAATGGGGAAAGGACAGTCTTTTTAACAAATGATGCTGGGAAAACTGGATATCCACACGCAAAGAATGAAGTTGGACCCTTACCAATACAACACCACGTACAAAAACGAACTCAAAATGGATCAAAGACCTAAACCTGTAAAGCTCTTAGAAGAAAATACAGGGGAAAAGATTCATGACATTGGCTTTGGCAATGATTTCTTGGACATGACACAAAAGCTCAGGCAAAAGGTAAAAATAGGTAAGTTGGACTCTATCAAAATTGAAAACTTCTGTGCCTCAGAGGACACGATCAACAGGGTGAAAAGGCAGCCCACAGAATGGGAGGAAATAGTTGCAAATCATATATCTGATAAGGGATTGATATCCAGAATATGCAAAGAACTTCTACAACTCTATAACAACAAAAATAACCCAGACGACCTGACTAAAAAATAGACAAAGGGCTTGAATGGACATTTCCCAAAGAAGATATACAAATGGCCAATAAACACATGAAAAGATGTTCAATGTTTGGGAAACGCAAATCAAAACCACAATGAGATACCATTCCACATGCCTTGAGATAGGTATTATCAAAAAATGGAAAATAATAAGTGTTAGCAAGGATGTAGACAAATTGGAACCCTTGTTCATTGCTGGTGGGAATGCAGAATGGTGCAGCTGCTGTGGAAAACAGTATGAAGCTTCCTCAAAAAACTAAACGTAGAATTACCATATGATCCAGATATTCTACTTCTGGATATGTATCCAAAAGAATTGAAAGCAGGGACTCAAACAGATATGTGTACATCCATGTTCGTGGCAGCGTTATTCATAATAGCCAAAAGGTGGAAGCAACCCAAATGTCCCTCAACGGATGAATGGATAAATAATTGTGGTGTATATGTATACAATGGAATATTATTTAGTTTTAAAAAGGAAGGAAATTCTGACACCTGCTACAACATGGATGAACCTTGAGGACATTATGCTGAGTGAAATAAGCCAGTCACAGAAGGACAAGTAACGTGTAGTTCTGCTTATATGAGGTCCCTAGAGTAGTCAAATCCATAGAGATAGAAAGTAGAATGGTGGTTGCCACGGCTGGGAGAAATGCAGGATGCGGAGTTAGTGTTTAATGGGTATAGAGTTTCAGTTTGGGAAGATGAAAAGGTTCTGGAAATAGATGGTGGTGATGGTTACACAACATTGTAAATGTACTTAATGCCACAGAACTATACACTTAAAAATGGTTAAAATGTCAAATTTTATATTATGTATATTTTACCACAATTGAAAAAAAAAGAATCCCATCTTAGGCTCTGCCTCTAGGGAACCTGACCTATGACACAATTATTACACCCAATTTATGGGTAAACTGAGGCTCAGAGACTATCTGTATATCTTCTCCAGTGGGGATGAAATAGCTCCCATCTCACAGGGTTATGGTGAGGATGAAATCAAATACTGATGCTTATAAAGACCCCTGATCAAGGAAGAGGGTTGCCTATGAGGATGGGGAAGAGGACACGGGGCCTTCAATTGAATTGTGGTTGAATGTTGGCAATTTCATAGGGTGCAACCAATAGTAGAGTTTGGTCCTTAAGCCAGACAGTAGGAGCAAAGCTATTTCTCTCACTGTTATCTATATAATTTTATATGCTTTGACTATTTCAGAATAAAACATTTTTATGAAAAATACTAGAGTAAGTGGGGGTCCGTGGAAGAGTTGGGAGGGAGAATATCCTGTCTTTGACCAGGAACACAAGGTTTTGATCAGACAGACCTGAAGGCGAACCCTGGCTCCACGCGTCTCTAGCTGTGTGACTGTGGGCAAGTCACGTGACTTCTGGGGCCTCGGTTTTCTTGTCTGTAAAATGGTGATAATACTATCAACCTCATAGAACTGTTGTACGGATCAAGTGCATGGAAAACAACATCTAGAATGAGGCAGAGAGCACAACCTTGATGCTACTGGGCATTGGTGGTGGTGGTGATAGACGGATGGAGGGTTAACTCCAGGCTCCAACCCCAGCCAGCCTGCCTGCCGACCCTGTGCTCTGTGCTCGGCCCCACATTTCTAGCCCAAGAGAAGCTTGACAGCTCCAACTTTCCAAGCCCACCTTGCCAGCGAGTGGTGTTTCACATCATTTCATTTGTCTTTTTTCTTCTCCAACTTCACAAGCAGGGTGTGGTCCCCATGCTTCTGAAACCTGAAGATGCACCCTTTCTATGCCAGAGCACTAGTTATTCTTGGGTGAAATATATGAACTAATGCAATAGTTAATTAAAATAATAATACTTATAAAAGCATCATCTTTTATTTAGAAATTTCCCCCCCTTTTACCTTTTCAAACGTTGCCCAAATTTGCCCTCCAGTCCCCCACATATTCATGACCGTGACTGCCCAGACTTCTTTTTTCGATGCCCTGATAGAAATGGGCATTACTCATTCAATATGGCTCTCTCCTGTGAGACTGGGAGGGCAGGGACAGATCTGTCCCCTCACTGTCGTGACCCCAAAACTCACCACAAGGCTGGCAGACAGCAGGAGTTTTGTGTTGAGGGTGAGGAAGTTGGAAGGAGACGGGTCATTTTGCCTCTGAGTCCCAGGTGAAGAAATTGCTGCTCAGAGGAACCAAGGGGTTTCCCAGAGTAACAAGAAACAGCATTGTTAGAAGGAAGGTATTGCATGGAGAATGGATGGAGTCCATGGGGTCTCAGACTCAAGTGCCTACGGGGCCAGACAAATGGAGCAAAGTGCCAAGGGAGAGGAACGCAGAGCAGGTGTAAGGGTAAGTGGCAGAAGAGCCTCAGGGCTGGAAGTAACTTGGAGAAGAGGAGGCTATGGAGTGTGTGTCCCATCTACAGGGGCACACTGCCCAGATCTAGCCTCACTGTTCCCTTAGAGAAATGTGGGCCCCAGATGGAATGTGTCCCTTTTTAAGAGACATCAGGAATCGGGCTTTTAATGTGAATTCTCCCAATTTTTGGGGGCCAGCCCAGTGGCGTAGCGGTTAAGTGTGTGCACTCCACTGCAGCAGCCCGGGGTTCACAGGTTCGGATCAATGGCGCGCCCTGACACACCGCCTGTCAAGCCATGCTGTGGCGGTGTCCCATATAAAGTAGAGGAAGATGGGCATGGATGTTAGTCCAGGGGCCAATCTTCCTCAGCAAAAAAGAGAGGGATTGGCACCGGATGTTAGCTCAGGGCTAATCTTCCTCACACACACACACACAAAAACTAAAAAAAACTTTGGCATCCACTAAAAAAAAATACTGTGTGGGCAACATTTTGTGGGCATAATGTAACCCTTAGGTGATCAAATTGTTACTTCTGTTACAGAGAGGTGAGTCTAAATTCTGAAACACACATTCTTCCAAATAGTATTCAGGTCTAGAACAAAGATATCCTCATTTACATAGCCTGCCGTGTGAAACAGGGTTCCCCTGGATTTGTGCAGCGTCCAACCTGTACAACTGTGTGTAGCAGCCCTAATACATAACTCTTGAAGTTGTCACCCCCTACAGTCCAACTCGATAGAAATGCCAACCCCCTACCTATTTAACTCTCCGGACCACAAGAGAAAGCCTCTCACCTGTCTCGGGTGCAAGAGCTGTGCGGCAAGGCCATGGAGGGGGAGTTCTAGCCATCATGACCAGATTTGCTCTGTCCTCTAGCGTGGTGAAATTCCGTCGCACGGGCGAGAGTGCAAGGTCAGAGGACGACACGGCTTCGGGAGAGCATGAGGTCCAGATTGAAGGCGTCCGCGCGGGCCTAGAGGCTGTTGAGCTGGACGATGGGGCAGCTGTGCCCAAGGAGTTTGCCAATCCCACTGACGGTGAGGGGGCCCTGCAGTTGGAGCATTAGCCCAGGCCACAGTCAGGGGCTCTGAGGTGTCAGGGTTGCCTCCCCAGGTGGTGCTCTCAGAGGGATGTCGTGAAGGGGCAGGTAGGAGGGCCCAGAGGGCCCAGGGGTGACACTGGAAGTGTGGGCTGGACCTACGTGGCTTACTTCAATAGGCAAGGTAACATCACAATCCCTGCCAGTCAGCTTCATTGCATAGCATTTGACTGAGGATGGGAGCAACAATGATGATGGTGATGGTGATAATGATAGTGATGGTGATGGTGATGGTGATGGCAGTGATGATGGTGATGGTGATGATGATGGTGATGGTGATAATGATGATGATGATGGTGATGATGATGGTGGTGATGGTGATGGTGGTGAGGATGGTGATGATGATGATGGTGATGATGGTGATGATGATGGTGATGATGATGATGAAGATGATGATGAAGATGGTGATGGTGATGATGGTGATGATGGTGATAGTGATGATGATGGTGATGGTGATGATGATGATAGTGATGATGATGGTGATGGTGATGATGGTGGTGATGGTGATAGTGATGATGATGGTGGTGATGGTGATAGTGTAATGATGGCAGTGGTGATGATGGTGGTGAAGACAATGGTGATGATAATGATGATGACGGTGATGATGGTGGTGATGATGATAATCGTGATGAGGGTGTTGGTGATAATGATGGCGATGGTGGTGACAGTGATGACGATAGTGTAATGATGGTGATGGTGATGATGGTGGTGGTGGTGATGATGACAATAGTCAAGGGAGCCGCTGACATTGGCTGAGAATTTACTCTGTGCCAGGCACTATCCTAAGCACTTTACTCGTATTACGCATTTAATCCTCACAACAGTTCCAATTGGAACTCTTACAATCCTCTTCCCCATTTTGCAGAAGAGGAAACTGAAGCACAGAAAGGTTAAGTATCTTGCCCAGGGCCACACAGCTAGAAATTAGCCAAGCTGGATTTACACTCAGGCAATCTGACCTCAGAGCCCACATTCTTTTTTTTTTTTTCTTTTGAGGCAGATTGGCCCTGAGCTAATATCTGTTGCCAATCTTCCTCTTTTTTTTCTTTTTTCTCCCCAAAGCCCCAGTACATGGTTGTATATCCTAGTTGTAGGTCCTTCTAGCTCCCCTATGTGGGACGCTGCCTCAGCATGGCTTGATGAGCCGTGAGTAGGTCCGGTCCAGGATCCAAACCCACGAATCCTGGGCCGCTGAAGCAGAATGTGCGAACTTAACCACTATGCCACTGGGCCGGCCCCCAGAGCCCACATTCTTAGCCATGACCTTGTATTGCTTCTGAGCAGAGCTCGTCAGACAAGAGACATGAGGCAGTGCTGTGGGACCTGGTCTCAGTCTCCCCTCGCCACGTGATGCTGATGGATGAAAACATTCCGTGCATCCCTGAACGGCTCCAGACTCCCAACACGAGAGAGGATTCATGACTTGAACTCAGGGTCTGTTGTTGGCAGATCTAAGGAGGCGATGACTGGAGGGATGCGAGGCGGTGGTTAGAGCAGTGGCTTTACTCTCAGGCTGATCTGGGCTCAACGCCCAGACCGACAGAGTGCCAGCTATGTGACACTGGGCAAGTCCATGTCCTCGTCTGTAAAATGGGGCTAGGACTGGGCCTTAACTAACAGTTGTGACAGGGACAAAATGAGATGATACACATCAAGGTCTTAGTGCAGTGCCTGGCACATGGTGAGCACTCAATGAAACCACCATTGTACTATTATTACTATTCTTATTATCAATGCTGTTATAGGGTTCATTCTGCTTTCTCCTCAATATTTTTGCTGGAAGAAACCAGAGCCTGCTGGTGTGATAAACACCAGCTCACACTTCTGGAGAAAATTCCGATTGACATAAAAGACCCGTGATTGAAATTCCAAAGAGAAGACAACTCCCATCGGGGGCTGATGAGATCCTCAGAAGCAGCCTACAGAAGGGCCACCCAGCCTGCTCCTTCAGTATTTTTATTTTTTATTTAACTTTTTATTTTGGAATCATTTTAGAAGTACAGAAAATTTGCAAAAGTAGTACAGGGAGTTCCCATATACCCTTCATGCAGCTTCCCCTAATGTTAATATCTTACCTAACCACGGTACATTTGTCAAAACTAAGAAATGAACACTGGTGCAATACTATTTACTAAATCCCAGACTTTATTCAGATTTTACCAGTTTTTCCAGCAGTGCTGTTACAGGAACCAATCCACCATACCACACTGTATTTAGTCTTTTAGTATTTTTCAAAACACTTATTAGCTTCTAAATTAGATCCTTTTTTTTTTTCTGAGCATACAAATAACACGCGTTCATTTGGAAAGCATTCAGACACTACAGAAATGTACAAAGTAGGAAAGTGAGTCCTGTCCCCTAAGATGATCCTGTGGCCACTTAATCTTACTTCTCCTGGTCCATCTTGTTTTGTTTTAAAAAATTAATTAATAATATATTATATGCATCTTTCTATATCTGCACATTCTTTACAGTTGAGCTATATTTCATGATGTGGATATATAAAAATTTACATATAATATATAAAATTTATTTAACCAATTTCCTGTTGCTAGACATTCTGGGTTTCCCAGTTTTCTTTTTGTAAACAATGTTGCAGTGGTCTTTATAGCAAGATATCTCTTCACACTTGCTGGAGTGTGTTTCTAGGCTACGTTCTAGAAGCAGAATGTGCTGCCTTTAATGATCTTGGCTGGGGACCCCCCAGACACCCCCACACTAGGACTACTCCAAGATGCACTGATTCCTTCCTACCTTCCCCCTTTCTCCTTCCCAGATACTTTCATGGTGGAAGATGCGGTGGAAGCCATTGGGTTTGGAAAATTTCAATGGAAGCTGTCTGTTCTCACCGGCTTGGCTTGGGCAAGTATTTCTGGGGGCAGGGATCTCGCATTCAGTCTCCAAGGAACCCCCATCATGCTGCTCAACAGGGTTTCCATGGTCTACAAGGAAGGACACAGTTCCTGCCACATAGAGTCTTTGGTTGAATCAACAAAGTTGATGTTGGGTGACCCTGGTGATAATGAAGGTCTGTGCTGGGGGGAGTTGGGTGTGGTTGTCGATTGCCCTCAAGCAGGAGTTGAATCTTCTGGCTAATTAAGTGGTTCTCAACTCTCTGGGGCTCAGGGCTACTATGAGATTGTGATGTCATCTCTGGAGCTCTCCTAGACAAACATGCACAGATAAAAATGTGTCTTCTGGGGCCGGCCCAGTGGCGCAAGCGGTTAAGTGCGCGTGCTCTGCTGCGGCGGCCCGGGGTTTGCCTGTTCGGATCCCAGGCGCGCACCGACGTACTGCTTGTCAAGCCATGCTGTGGCAGTGTCCCATATAAAGTAGAGGAAGATGGGCACGGATGTTAGCTCAGGGCCAGTCTTCCTCAGCAAAAAAAAGAGGATTGGGAGATGTTAGCTCAGGGCCAATCTTCCTCATACACACACACACAAAAAGTGTCTTCTGCTTCAAGAGGCTCATGATCTCTTGCTAAAATTTCCTAATCTACCTACAGCAAATAACATACATAGACTTTCAATACAACTGAAATGGATTTTTGTGAATAGTGTGAGGTGGTGACCTTACTATGTATTTTTCCAAATAGATAGTCAATTTCCCTACATCATTTTCCCCACGAATTTGAAAGGCGGCCTATATCATCCATCACATTCCCATGGCCACAAGGGTCTCCTTCTGGGATCCCATTTCTGTCCCATTGTTCTGTCTGTCTAGTCCCATAAAGGTACTGCGATGTTTGATTACTGGAGCTTCTAGTATGTTTTAATATATTAAAAGGTCAATATTCCAACAATTCTACATGAACAATGACCTATAAACCAAAGACAAACTCTAATTGAGTAAAGAGAAAAGATCATTGCCTCTTGACCTCTATAAAAATGTTTTTCTCAGATCTTAGAAATATGATGTTTTCCCACGTCCTTCATGGAGTGCCCCTATTTTTTTAAACATGGAAACATACACACACACACACACACACACACAAAGAATGTAAATGCCTATTTGTCAATTCCTGCCTGGGACCATACTGTTGTAACTACTGGAGCATTCGGTGTGTTTTGATGTGTGGTGGGGTGCCCGGCAGGCAGGAGAAGAGGGGGTTTCCACATGCTCTCTCTGGGGTCGTAGACTTGGCGAGGGCCCAACGGTCCCCAGCACTGGGCAGCATCCTGGCCTCACGATGTTTGCTTTCTCCCTGCAGATGGCTGATGCCATGGAAATGATGATCCTGAGCATCCTCGCGCCACAGCTGCACTGTGAGTGGCGCCTCCCCAGCTGGCAGGTTGCGTTGCTGACCTCGGTAGGCAGCCCGGCAGCTCTCTCCTGTTGTGTACAGTTCTGGTCCCCTGGGGTGTTCTGTGGGGTGTCCCCCTCCTCCTGCTGCTGCCAAGGGCTCAGCAGAAAAGATTTAAGCCCCAGATGAAAACTCTGTGACCCCGGCTTTCTTCGCCCCCCTCCCCACCCCACATATCCTGGCAGGTTTGCAGCCAGCTCTACTCCATCCGGTGGTCCAGCTACCTGGGGGGCCCAGACATCCTGCTCAGTTGCTGAGAAGTTGGAACCCACCTGGGCATGTCACTTAAACCTTATAAGCCTCACTTTTCTTGATGGCACAAAGGAGATGCCAATTCCTCCTACATGAGGGTGATTTTGAGGATTGGAAACAACATAATGCCTGACCCAGAGTAGATGTTCAATAAACAGTAGGGAGCTGCTGCTCCCTGAATTAGGACTTGAAGGAGAGTCAGGCAGAACCCTCAATTTTTGTTAGAGGGAGCTCAGCTGCAACCTTCTAAATGAGAAGAGAATGGCCAGGCTGGATAAGAGACTAATAATAATGATCTTCACAAAAGCTAATGTCAATTAGCTTTTATGCAACGTATGCATAGTATACGTTGTGCTCTTTAATCCTCACAACCCTATGAGGTAGGTACTATTATTAGCTAAGGAAAATGAAGCACAGAGAGGTGCTTCACGAAAGGTCACACAGCCTAGCTAGTGGCAGTCATTGCTAACTAGGAACACCTCCCAGAATGCTGTTTTTCTGTGGATAACTGGTCTGGGATGGTCTGAGTGCCTTCAGCAACCAGGCCTGGTCTGGTGTTAGCAACATGTCGTGCAGCTCAGTGGGAGGAGTTTCACAGGCACATACACCTGTGTGTATGTGGTTTAGTCACCTCGTAGATGTGTGGCCTTGGGTGAGGCACTTTATGCCTCTATTTCATCACCAGCATAACGGGGGTGGTAATGCCTGTTTTTCTGCATGTGGACAACAGGATGCGTACAGTGCCTGGTACACGGTAGGGGTGAGTAAACAGCACTTCTTTATTCTATTCCTCATCCTCACCGGTACCCCCTAAAGAATAACCACGGGTCTGTGTTTTTGCAATGCCCGGCCTTTCTGGTCTCTTGTCATTGGTTCAAGACAGCCACCACTAATTGGGCACTCATTCACTCATTGCATGCCAGGCCCTGTGCTAAGAGTTTTGCATACATTACCTCTTTAACCCTCTCAACCCTGTGAAAGAGGTGCTATTATTACTTCCATTTCTACAGATGAGAAATCAAGGTTCAGAGAGGTGCAATGACTCACCCAAGCTCACACAGCCTATAAGAGGCAGAGGCAGAATGGAAATCGAGGTCTGCGGACTCAGAGCCCCTGCTCCCAGCCTCTGCCCTGGCCTCCTTCCTTAGGGTATCAGTTCTGAACTGGTGGAACAGGTAAAGCCATGAAGTTCCGTGGCCAAGTTTGCTGTAGAAAAGTTAGACCACTGCAGGAGTTGCTTTAACTACATAACGTCCATATAGAGGATAAGACAGACGGTCATTATTGTCACAGGAAATCCTGTGCGAGATTACCGTAATTACCATGAGAGATTACCGTAATTACTGTGATATAGCACTAGTGCTCCGAAGTACCTAAATCTCTCCCTTAGCAGGAGAGAGAATGGGGAAAATGCATGTTTGCAGAGATGATTAACTGTCTCAGGATGCAAGGATATCACTTAGCACATGACTAAGGCAACATCTTACCCCAAGACAGTAATCTTCAACACTTGTTCTAGGTAATCTAGAAAAGAATTCTGCAAGCCCCAGGTTTTAAAATTGACATTAAATGTTTTTAAATTGTAGGTTGCAGATTACATAATTTCCAGTGTATTGAAATATAAAAAATTTAAATAAAATTTCATATTGCTTTTTAAAATATGTCCAGTGGAAATGAAATACTTGTCTGATACCTACCAACCTCTGTTTAAAATAACATGAATAAGCCCTTCAGAAGAAGTTGAAAATTTTGCACTATCTTGTTTTCATCTTGAACTGGTATTTCCATTCCATTTCTCCATATACTTTTATCTAAATGTAATGTTTTCCTGTGCTTGGAAGTATTTCATTCATCACCCCATCATAATTTTCTGGGACTAAGTAGATAAATTTTAAATTATTGTTTTTCATTCCCTGAGATAAGTCTGTCAGTATTAAAAATTTTCTCCTGCACCAAGTTATCATTATAATTTTTAGTATTACTCAATAGATCAAAACAACAACATACAATTAATTTTGGTAAGTAATTGTTAAGCATAAGTAAATTTTATCAGAATGGACCCTTAATGAGTGGTATGAAGTGGTTCCCAATTATGTCACATATTCTTGAATGATTATTCATCGCCAAAATGAGTCAGGGTTCAGCATTAATTCTATTCCCATTTTTCATTTTTACTGAATGGATGTGACTATGAAAAGCTTTGTTCACATATAAAAAGTTTTAGGGGAACTGAAGCAGTTTTGTTATAATTCAACAAACTAACGCCCCTTGATTTTTTCAACAACTTCCAAGTTACCCACCAAAGTGCACACAGCAGTCGCTTGTGAAAAATTATTTTTAGTGATCTAATTGCTGACAGCTTGATTAGGCTCTCCTTCAATTTGGTTAAAAATAATAAAAAGGAATTGGAAACGAGATGACTTGCAAAAAGATGTGTAACTGTGTCATTGGTGTCCCTTTTGAAGGACATCATCCTGGAGGGCTTAACCCCAAAGCAATGCACTGTGAGGTGCACTGGTAGACGGGGGTAGAGAAGTGAGGGAGAGCTGGTCGAGAAAGGGAAAGTGGGGCAGCGAACAGGTGAGACCCCTAACCTGTTCTCGGGAAAGAGTCCATAGGGAAGTTGAGGGTTAATGAATGCCTTCTCTTCCTAATAGCTTATAGTTTGCATCTCAACCCCCTGTCTCCTGCTTCTCATATCCTTCTAACTCTACCTTGCAACCTTTGATATTTTCTTAGCAATAGGGCAAGACTTTTCTTTGATATGGTAAGAAATTGGTAAAATGTAACTCTGTAGTCAGACTGCCTGATTCCAGCCCAGGCTGCCCCACTTACACCTGTGTCACCCTGGCCAAGTGACCTCCCCTCTCTAAGTCTCAGTTTCCTCATCTGTAAAATTGGGATAATCATAGCATCCACCCCACAGGATGGTTGTGAAGCTTAAACAGTAACATGAAGCACTTAGAATCGTGTTTGCAACTTAGCAGGATCTCAGCGAACGCTGGCTCGTTATTATTACAAGGGTGTGACGTCACAGGTTCAATCTGTGGGTCCCTTTCTCTGAGATGCTCTAGGTCACTGTCTAACAGAAACTGTCTTTCTGCCCACAGGTGGTCTTTGTCGGCATGATGTCCAGCTCCACCCTCTGGGGAAACATCTCAGACCAGTACGGCAGGAAAACAGTAAGGCGACCTCCCCTAAGCACATGTCCCCTGGGCTAGCTCCATGATGACATTCACAAGTAGCAAAACAGGTGCTGCATGAGCACTTGGGAGGCCTGATGAGGAGCTGGATTGACAAGCAGGGGGAAGACATTGCTCTGAGGCCACTGTGGACTCTTGAAATCCCACATTCCCATTGGGGCCCAAGCATGTGCATATCTGAGTGTAGAAGATGCTGGGGTGCCCACCCTTGCCCCTTGACGCTCATCATTCCCTTACACGAGGTTGGGGGCAGTCCACTGGCGGTAGAGAAAGACATTAGCTTTCTTGCCCTGCAGTGGATCGTCTTTTAATCCAGCAGGACTGAGGTCCAGGGCCCAACGTGGGGACCTGCTCATTAAGGCAGTGTGGATTGCCTGCCTTCTCTACCCCTCCTGGGGTCACCACCTAAATAAACCATTTGTACTGGAATCCTTGTCTCAGGTCTGCTTTGGGGGAAGCCCAGCCTAAGATAGGACGTGAAATGGATTTGCAAACAAGAAGGGAACTTACAGGACTGGAATTGCATTGAGGTCTTCCTGTTTTATTTGTTTGTTATCTCATGGCTTGGACAGTCCCCTTTGTATTTGGTGTTGCTCTTGCTTCACCGGGCTGCACTTGGACTCTTTGATCCTTTCAGTGTGTGAAGCTACAGTCCTCTAAACTATGAACTTGGGCCTTATGGGAGAAAAGAGCTGTATAGATCCGGGCAAGTTTCACCTGGCTGCGTGCCTGGCTCAGGAAGATCTGCCGCTCCAGCAGCGCACATTCGGAGCTATGGCACTCCCTGACGGCTTTGCTGTTCTCTTTCGTGGACTCTCCTCATCAGCCTGCAGTTTCTCCAGAGGCAGGGGGGTGTCATGCTTATGTGCTTGGGCTCTGAAGTCAGGTGGACCTGAGTTCAGTCCCAGATCTGCCACTCCTGGCTGTGTGACCTTGGGCAAGTGAATTGACCTCTCTGAGCGTCAATTTCCTCATAATATAAAGAAGAAAATAACATTGGAGGGTTCGACATTGGAGAATCTCCAATGGAGGGTTACTCAAGGTCATGGGTGTGAATGGCTTTGTACGATGCCACGTGCATCATAGGCACAGGACACACGTGAGCTGCCATTGCAATGATGGCGTTTCTAACAAGTTCCCAGGTGATGCGGATGCTTCTGGTCTGGGGACCACACTTTGAGAACTATTGGCTTAGACTAATAAACATATACTCTTGGAGCTAGGAGTGGGGTGGATATCTAAACAAACTTAGAATCCCGTTAGGAGGGAAGAAGGGAGATAGGGAGGCTGGGTAGGGAACAGGAGAGGTCCACCACAACCAGTAAGCCACGGACTGAAAACGAAACAGTGCCTTGTATGGCAGGCACTATACCAGGCATGATCCGTGCATTAGCTCACCTAGCCGCCATCAAAACCATCGAAGTAGGTACTATTATTACTCTGATTTCACAGAAGAGAAAACTGAGGCACAGAGAGCAGGCAGCTTGCCCCAGGCCACCCAGAGCCGGGTCTCACTCTTTCTAAGTCTAGACCCGTCTTAACCATGATACCCAGTGGCTTGAATCTGTAGATGCTCGATAAATAAATATATGTTGGCTCGATAAATGAAGAAATGTTTGAACAGTGCTGGGCAGGAAGTAGACTCCAGCTACTGTGACTGGACAGGAAACACGTGGGCCAGGACACCTGGGAGACGTTGACTAATAAAACTGCCAAGAAGCGGCTGTGGCAGGGCCAGAGGAGGCGAGGTTGGGAAACTGACTGCAGCCACCAAGGCCCAGAGGGTCTTGGTTGGGTTTAGCGGTTGCAGAGGTCAGGTGGAAAGGCCTCTCCAGGCCTCGCAAGGAAAACAGAAGGTGTTTCTTCCTTCCTGTGAGCCGGAGAGGGGATTACTCTCGTCCTCAGGGGGCCCCCCTCTGGGCTCTGCCCCCATCCACCTCCCACCCACTTCCTGTTTCTGGAGGCTGTGAGTCACTGCTGTAGCGATTTTCTGGTTGGAAGAAAGATTTTCTCGTGGGACAGATTTTCTGGCCTGGAGCAAGAGTCTGAGAGAGGGAGGAAGTACGGATGAAAGGAAGGAAGGAAGGAAGGATGGAAGGAAGGGAGGAATGAAGGAAGGAAAAAGGGAAGGAGGGAGGGAGGAGGAAGGAGAAGCACCTTTTAAAATAAAACAGAGCCATTTCTTGTGGAGCTGGCAGCAGTTAAAGGAACTGTAAGCCTGTGGCTGTCTGAGGCTGACCTAACAGTAATCTTCAGGCCTTTAAAATAATCAAAGGAAAAAGCTCTTCTAAGGTCTTACTTAACATGGCTTCTTCCTGAGCAGACTGGGCATGGGGGTGGACAACTTGTTTCACTGTTTCTGGCTGAAAACATTTTTTTTTTTTTTTGGTGAGGAAGATTAGCCTTGAGCTAACATCTGTTGCCAATCCTCCTCGTTTTACTGAGGGAGACTGGCCCTGGGCTAACATCCGTGCCCATCTTCCTCTACTTTATGTGGGATGCCTGCCACAGCATGGCTTGATAGCAGTGCATAGGTCCACACCCAGGATCCAAACCCACGAACCTTGAGCCGCTGAAGCAGAGTGCACAAACTTAACCACTACGGCACCGGGCCGGCCCTAAAAACATTTTTTATGTCCTTGTTCTTGAGGCAAACATGCACAAAAAATGCAGGAACCCACAATGAGGAACTTGACTATGCCCCAAATTATCCAATTGCTGAACCGTGAAGCCGTGAGGAATACAGGGGGAGATGGAGGGAAAATACCTTAATTTGGGGCCTGGATCTGCCACTGGGTGGCTAACGCAAGTGATCCCCCCTCTTGGGCCTCTGTTTCCTTACTTATATCAGAGCAGGTTGGATTACATATTAGCTGCCATCTATTGAGTTCCCAAAACTAAAAGGCAAGTGGGATTTTGTCCCTTGTGTCTGGTCTTATCATTTAGTAGGGGATGTCAGGCACAGGGATTTGAGGAGTCAGAAGGCTCACTGGGACAGTGCTGTGATTGATTAGTGATGTCTGCCGTGGGTGTGGGACAAGAGGGTGGCCAGGCGCATTTAGTAAACTGCACGAGGGGAGGGGCTGTGCCTGTTTTGTGCACTGAGGCGGTCCCGGAGCCTGACGCAGCACCTGCCTTATAGCAGGCACTCAATAATATTTCTTGAGTGACGGAGCTGGGTGGATGAGAATCAGAATCTCCTTGTTTCCACTTTCTGCCACTCTCTCGTCCTCTCTGGATGAGCCACTGACTCATGTTCTTTGTTTACCTAAAAGTCCACAAAGGTCATTAGCTTAGGATCCTGACTTTCCTTGGAAGAGTGTGTTTATTCTGCCACGGATGTCAGTAGTTCCCACGGTGTTCCCAGGAGGTAGCCCTGTAGAATATTAGATGTCTTCCTGGTTATAATGGGCCTCAGAAGAGAAAGCTATAGCTTGGATGTTAAAAAGATTCATAGATAGGTTTTCAGTCATGCCATATACTGAATCTTGTGAATTCTAAACACATTTTGGCACCTTCTAGAACCGTAGTTCTCAGGGGAGTGGAGGTGGACAGATTTTGCCTCCCCCTTTCCAGGGGCCACTCAGCAATGTCTGGAGATATTTTCGGTTCTCACAACTCAGGGAAGGGGTGCTACTGGCATCCAGTGGGTACTGGTCAGAGATTCTGCTCCATGTCCCAAAGTCCACAGCACAGTCCACACCACGGAGAACTGCCAGGTCCAAAATGTGAACGGTGCCGAGGCTGAGGGACCAGGCTCCGGAGTGAATGTGCAGACGATGCCAAGTTGCCATATTGTGAGGAGTTCCTTCTTCTTCATCTTAGCACGTCACCTGGGAGCCCTCCAGCCTCATTCCAGTATTTACCTAAAGGGCTCATTTGGACAAATGAAATATTAACATAATGTCATTGTGAAAAGCATGGGCTCTGAGGCCAGAATGCTCGGGTTCAAATCCCAGCTCCTCCACTGATCGGCTGCGTGACCTTGGGCGAGTTACTCAACCTCTCTGTGCCTCAGTTTCCTCATCTGTATATGGGATAATAATAGTCTCTCTTGTTGGGCTGTTATGAGGAGTAAATGAGCCCTTGTACAGAAAGCTCCTGGCACAGAGGAAGCTTTTCAGAAATGTCCATTTTTATTCCTAACATTTGCCAAACCCATGGTGCCAATAAATGGCAATGCCAGTATGAAAATGTGGTGTGTCTGGCTCCAGAGTCCACATCCTTCACGCTGACCTTGGCTGCTGGGGAACATAACTGAATTATCTCCCAGAATTCAGTTGATTAGTAGGACATTCATGCATCCCAAATAGATGAAGCTTGGGGGCTGCCTATAGAATGTTCTAGCTCTCCAGCCCACCTTGCTAAATTCCACAGCTGGTGTGACCGGAGAGCGAGGAGACAAAGTGCCCGCAGATTGCAGAGCCTCCTCGTCCCAGCATGGAATTCTGGCCCGACCGCAGGGAGGATGGATCAGGCTCTAAATATAAAGCTTCCCCAGAACTCCTCCAGGAGCAGCGGGCGAGCTGGGCATCTGGCATGCTTTGCAAGCATGGAGAATCTCCTCTTAGCTCCTTGATCTGCCTCGGCCCAGCTGGGAGGTTTCTGTGAGGGTATCCACTGCCTGACTTTGCGGGGGAACTACATATGGGGTTAGGACTCAGTGGGCCACTTTGATTCCTACAGAAGTTTCTACAGGCTGGGAACTTGTGGCAGCCACAGAAAGGAAGGGCATCTGTGGGTGTGTGGGCCTTGTAGGGATGGAAATGCACATTGGGATATTGGGTTCATATCCCAGTGCCCCCCTGTGGAGCGAGGTAACCTTGGGCAAGTTGCTTCCCCTCTCTGAGCCTCAGTTTCCCCATCTGCACAATAGAGTTGATAACAGTAGGAGCTCATAGGGCTGTTGGAGGGTTTAATAAGAAAATGTATGTTATGCACTCAGAACAGTATTTACTGTTGCATGGCTAGCCCGCAGTCCATGGTAACTGTTATTGGTTGGAACTCAAGGAAAAGAAATTTCAGAAGATGGTCAGGTCACTATCAGGTTCAATGGCTACAGGCCCATGTTGTCTCTAAGGAGGCAAAGGAGGTGGCTGGCAGGCATTAGGCCTCTCATTTCAATATTTTGAAGATCCTGGGTCTCCTTGCCCTGTGACTATTTTCCTTGTACTTGAGCTTGATTGGAGAATTCCAAGGGGTTGAGTCAGCCAGCCCCGAGGGTGACCGAGTGAGCCTCGTGGTGATGATGTTGGCCTGCTCCTCTTGGGGTTGCAGGCCTGGCACCCAAGAGGCAGCAAGACTTTCAGCTTCTCGGAGCAAGAGCTTTTCAGGCTACAGGTTGCAAACTGGTGAGCCATGAGCCAAATGTGGCCCACGGATGTGTCTTATTTATCCCATACAATGCTTTATAGGATTTTAAATCAGTTGGCTCCATTTCAAAAATGACGTATTTTGCATAAAAATGAAAAGTTATGGTTTTTTTTTTTTTTTTAACTGAGTTATCTGGCAGCCTGGGATCCACTTTCTGTGATGGTAAATTCTGGCTACAGCTGAGTAGAGGCTGACACGGGCAAGTCCTCTTCCATTCACCCAGGCCCACCTGACCTTGCTGCATTACACCTGCCTTGTGGTAATGGGGAGCCATCAAAGGCCCTAGAGGAGGGGAGTGGCTCATTCAAAGTACAGCATTTGGGGTTGGAAATCCTGGCTCCAGTTCTGCCTCAGCTGATCCTAAACAAATCACTCATCTACTTTGACCCTCACTGTGCAGATTTATAAAGTGGAAATGAAAATAACTTCATTCCACAGGCCACTATGGGGAGCCAGTGTAAAGATGTGACAGCGATTTAAAAACGCAAATGAAAGCTCCATGAAGTCAGAGACTTTGGCTGTCGTGTTGCCTACTGTAGCCCAGGACAAAGCCGGGTGCCTAGCAAACAGCAGGCATTCAATAAATGCATAGTGAATGGGTGAATGAAGGAATAATATATATTAGTACCTCAAACTGCCAGGCACACAAAGGTGCTCAATACTTGCGGAGTGAATAAATGAGTGAATGAATGAATGATATATATCAGTGCCTGTAGTGCTGGGCACACAGAAGATGTTCAATCCATGTACATTGAATGAAAGAATGAAAATATATGTGAGTACTCGAATGTCTGGCATACAGCAGGCACTCAATACATGCTTATTGTTGAATGAGCAAATTAATGAATGTATAATGTCTGCATCTATCTCTAGAGCCTGGCATACAGGGGATGCTCAATAGATAAATATGGAAGGAAACAAGGAAGGAAGGGAAGGAGGGAGGGGCTAACAATCTTACAGGCAGAACAGATGTTAGGCAGAATGACCAGTGTAGCTAATGAGAAGCCCAGAGGACATTTCTGCAGAGTCCCCGAGCAGTGCTTGGATGGGGCTTGCTGGCAGTGTCCACGCCTTTGCAATAGCCATGACAGTACTTACAAATGATTGCTGAGTCCTCATGTCCAGGGCAGCTGGAATGCCCTGGCATCAGCGGGCAAATGCAGAGCCAGCTGCGATCTGCTGTGACCCAACAGGACAGGTCGGCATGCCTGCTTTTGCTGCCTGGCGTGCAGTCACCCGGTGACCTCACTGGGCTAACACAGCTCTCAGGCAGCCCCTCGAGGGAGGCTTAGCTCCCTTGCCCCAGCCTGGGCGCCCTCTCCTCTCCCCTCTCCTTTCCTCCTGCCCTGTTGCCTTCTTTGCTTTGCTTTTCTCTGCTGCTAACGGTGTCCTGTTTCTGATTCAAGACTCCTTGGGTTCCAAGGAAGAAAATCTCTACGAAGTTAGCTTAAGCCAAAAGAAAGGAATTAAGTATATGTGTGGCAGGTACCAATTTCATAGTCATAGGTTTGGGGCTGCAGAAATGTTGCTTGATTATTATTGCAATAGATCCAGATTTTCCCAGACTTTAAAAATTCCTGTCCCTTATTCTCTTGTATACTTAATATCTTTCTTTATATTGACTTTTTTTTTTTTAAACTTTCAATGCATGGTTTTGGAAAAGGAAACTTTATAGACAATCTTAAATGAGATATCAGTAACAATTGCCCTTAGTAGGAAATGTCTGCAAAAATAAATACAATGAAAACAGTACAATGTTCTCAAATTCTAGCTGGTTATGGTTACCCCACTGCCCTCTTTGTTAAAAAGAGAGATTAACAGGTGTTTTAAAAAGGTGTTCGAGGCCAGCCCCGTGGCCTAGTGGTTAAGTTCAGTGCACTCCACTTTGGTGACCCGGGTTCAGTTCCCGGACATGGACTTACACCCATCAGGGGCCAAGCTGTGGCGGCAACCCATATACAAAATAGAGGAAGATTGGCACAAATGTTAGCTCAGGGCCAATCTTCCTCAGGAAAAAAAAAACGGTGTTAAAGACCGACTAGCACCACATGGATACTTTCTCTTGGACATAATCAGAAGAAAGAAGATCCAAATGAAAAATAAATAACTTTCTTGCAATGTGATGCAAAGTTATTTAAAATGTTCTCTGTACCACCTAAAATCATTTTCCAAAAGATCCGACATCATCTGGTAGACCTCCGAATTTCCTCTCTAGTCCTTTTAATTCAGTTTAAGATTTTAGAGCTAAAATCATATGCTTCACACTTTTCCCCTGAAGTGGCCCCAGGGGGGCTGGAGAGTGAACTCAGGCCTGGAGATCTGGCTGGGTTGCTGCAGAGAGAGGTGCCCGGACCTCATGTTGCAGTCTGAAATTCACCTAAAATTGGCATTCTATTCTATAATACCTCTAGGTTTGGTTGTGATTACGTTCCCCCTTAATTTTTCTCTTTTCCTGGGGAAGATTAGCCCTGAGCTAATATCTGTGCCAATCTTCCTCCACTTTATATGTGGGTCGCTGCCACAGCATGCCTGACGAGTGGTGTAGATCTGCACCTGGGATCTGAACCGATGAACTCGGGCCACCAAAGCACAGCACGCTGAACTTAACCACTATGCTGGCGGCCCGCCTTCCCCTTAATTTTTTCTCAGTCTCCAAGGGTAATTAACAGTCCAAGAATATGCACCATGATTGTCTTGCCAGCACTGCATCCCACAGTGGTTCTCAACCCCCTCAAATATAATGTCCCCTTTGTTTAAAAAAAAGTTACAAAAATTTTTAATAATGCCCCTCATTACCCAGAAATAATTTTAAAGATAAAATAACCTAGCCACTCAAGTAATTTAAAAAGGGAATCAATTCTAACTCCCTAACTATGATATGGGGAATTTTTAAAAGGAGGTAATTCATAAAACAAGATTTATTTTCAGTATGCAAATATTCACACACAACTCTGCCTAAATAAAAAAAGGAAGTAGTTAATATTTGCCCCGATTATAAACAAGTTTGGATTTAATGGAATATTCTTGATATTTTTTCTATATATTTGACATTTTGAAATAAGGTTCAGTCAGTCTATTCACAGATACACACAGAAGCCCTGTGAATGCAGACGGATATTGAAGCTCCCTCAGTGACTCAAACACCACACGCAGCGTTGCCATTGGCAACATGGTTTTCTGAAATGATGAACAATTTTCTAAAGTTCTAGATAAAACAAAGTACAGTTTTCTTTTGATTTACCTGGAAGTTGCATTCCTGAAAAATTAAGTGTATGTTTAAACTATACCCCTCCCAAATCCATGTATATGTCAAGTCAGGTGAAAGTCCAGGTGCAGATAATCATAAACCGAGTTTTCAGCTGCATGACAGTCGAGTTGGAGGTTCAGTTCGAGATGGTGCAGGATGCAGAACAAGCCTTTATTGGGTCTCATGCATTGTGGGTCACCTAACACCTCTGGGCTCTGTCTATTAGATGCCAATCATTGGGACAACCAAGACTGCCCCACAATTTTCCCACACACACCCCCCCCCCCCCAGAGTTAGCACCACCCATACAGAGAACCCCTGGCATCCCCTTGGCTGTGTGGGTTAACCTTGAATGTGACCTTATTGGTGACTTCACATATGTGCAGGGGCCATGTGACCTGGCGGTGCTGAGAAGCCTGTGACCTGGCGTCTTCCTTCTCTGCAGGGGCTGAAGATCAGCGTGCTCTGGACTCTCTACTACGGCGTCCTCAGTGCTTTTGCGCCCGTGTACAGCTGGATCCTGGTGCTCCGGGGCCTGGTGGGCTTTGGGATCGGAGGGGTCCCCCAGTCGTAAGTAAATCCCCAGCTCTGGTCATCCAGCCAGGCAGCCAGTCAACTGTGTTCATGGCCTCAGAGGGATGCAAAGATGGTTACGCCAGGGCTTCTGGTATCAAGGAGCTAGGAGGTAGCCAGAGAATAGCATCGTTATCAGTGTTGTAATGATGAACAACAGCAAAAGCAACACAAGAGCTGGAAAATTGTAAATGTGAAATAAAAATAATAGATCTAGCGTTGATGGAACATTTCCCTTTGACACATCATAGCATCCCCAGGAGGTATGTGTTATCAAATTATTGCAATTCTCCAATGAGACTCAGTGGGTGACGTCATTTGCCCGAGTCACTCAGTGTGTAGGTGGAACTAAGAACCCGAGTTTCTGCCTACAACATCTGTGCTCTTACCCACTGTGCATGCTGCCTCTCACCCGCTTCTAACCTGAGCACGAGGCAGCGGATGGGGCTCGCCTGCCGTATGCGAGTTGGGGGTTGCTTTGTTGTTGCTGATGGTGGGGTACTGAGAGAAGTCGGAGTTGTAGGAAGATGTCAGTCTCTCCTGGGAGACTGGTGAATCGTAAGGCAGAGATTGGCAGATGATGACTTTACCTGCCTCTTAGTGAACACTAAATATTGTTCTAAACAATTAACCCCAATTACTTTATTTAGTCCCCAAAATTTCCCAATGAGGTAAATTCTATTATTAACCCCATTTTACAGATAGAGAAACTGAGGCACAGAGAGGTAAAGTAACTTGCCCTAGGCCACACAGCTAGAAAGAGGCAGAGCTGGAATCTCAACCCAGATCCTCAAACTCCAGAGCTCGGGCTCAAACCACTGCTTTTTACTGCCTTGCTGTTAAGGATGCGAAGGATTTGGAAAGACCCAGAGGGGGACGGGAAAGATGTAGGATATTTCACAGGAAGGGATCTGCAGGAAAAGAGGAAGCTGTAGCTAGGTCTGAGGAAGGCCAATGGTCCAGTTTGGCTAGCTTGTCGGGCTGAGATATGTGAGAATTGAAAGCCGAGGTTGGACAGATAGACCAGAGCAAACTTGTTAAAGGCCTTGAATGCCAGGCCAAAGGGATTATCTACAGGCAGTGGGGAGCCACTGAGAGTTCTTGAGCAGGAGAGGTATTTTAGAAGTATTAATCTGGCGATGGCGGGTAGGATGACTTGGAGGTGAGGAATCCTATTGCAATAATTTATGGAAATTTTGCATGAGGAACTGGTAGTTCACTTCTAGTTTCTTCATTCAACCAATAGTCAACCAATATTTCTTGAGCACCTACTATGGCACAGGTCTGTGCTAGGTGTTGGGGATATGGCAGTGAGCAAAGCAGACGTGGTCCCTGTGACAGGTTGGGATCCTGGGAAACAGACTCTGAGATAGAGATTTGTGTGCCAGTGGTTTTGGGAATGACCACCTGTAAGGGAGTGAGAAAAGCATGAATGGGGAGACGGAGAAGTCGAGTTGTGAACCAATTGCAACGGAGACCTCAGCTGATCTCGTAGGGGTTCAGAAGCTGGGATGGCCCTTTGGAACTGTTCCAGATTGAGGCATGGGGGCCGGACCTTTGTACCCTCACATCAGCCACATTGGATGTGGGCTGCCCTCAAGGAGGGAGCATGACCTTGGGCAAGGCGGCTACTTTTGGTCAAGGCCATTCCCTCAGGGGACTCAATTACGAGCTCTTAGCAGGTAACACTCCTGCTCATTCCAGAAGGACGGTATGCCTCAGTCCTGAAGGATGAGTCCAGGTGGAGCATCACAGCACCCGCCACAGTCCACCCCTTACACCTCTTGGATGTACTTGCTTCATGTGATAAGTCCACCTCATCTGGGAACAGCTTCTCCAGGATTCTGGTTGGTCTTTTTCCAGAAAAAGGCTTATGAGAAGATGGCTAGTGAGACAAAGTGCAGCCCCTGCTATTGGTGCTGGCCTCATGGCTACAACCGAAGCCTAGTAGCTCCCTCCTCTGCTCCCATTCTAGATTCCCCCTCCTTTGGCTAGCACTTCTGCTGATCTAGAAGGTTCACCTGATGGGGTGACCCAGATTCCATGCCTGAGGGTCCCTGGTCACCATACCCTTCTCAGGCCATTGCTGCTGCTTGTCCATTTAACACCAAAGTTGGGCAGGGGACTACCGAGAGATGTCCAGTGTATCACCTTGGTGCCCCATTAGATACAGAGCCCTACCACCTCCTGACGCTCAGGATCAATTCCTTGGACAGAATGCTGACTCTCTTTCTTGCCTGCTCATGTCTTGACACAAGGAACCCAAAGTCACTATGTGGCAGGTGTTGCTTAATGTCTAATGAGACCTTGCTGTGTCTCCTGGCGGAAGCATGCCCTCTCTGGGAACCAGGACCTCTAGACACACAGGGCCTAGAAGTTGCAGGATGGAGGAAATACACATTCCCCCACGTGGGTCACTGGGAATGATGACATATCCTACTTCATCCCTTTGATTTCCAGACCCGTATGTTCTTTCTACACAGCACCATATAATGGTCATTGATTTAAGGGTATATTGTGTCCTGGAAGACAGTACCCCTTCCTCACAGGGCATCACCTCCACAGGACCTTCAAAAGGCTGTTCCATCACTCCCTCAGGCCAGCAGCTGCAGGGTAGCATGGTGTGTGATAGGACCAGTGGCTTCCATGGTCGTGTGCCCACTGCTGCATCTCCTTTGTTATATCTTGGCCCCCTTGGTCCTGTGCACTGTCCTACAGGATCCTGTGTCAATGGGTCAAATATCCTGAAAGCCCTGGGAAAATGGTGCTGGCTGAGACCCTGTGGGCAGGAAAGGCAAACCAATACCTAGAATATGTGCCTATTCCGGTCAAAATGAATCACTGCTCCTTCCAAAATGGTAGGCGTCCAGTGTAAATAACTTGCCACCAATGACACGGGATGGCTTTATCCTGGGGTCTCCATGTTGGTCTCTGTTGCAGGCAGATTGGCTCTCTGGCAGGAGAAATAGCAAGATTGGCCTTGGTGGGTGAGGGTCTGGGCGTTGCACCACGGTAGTCCCTGCCCTCTGAGGGTTAATAGTTCAGTGATTGACCTCTTGAGCCTATCGAGTGTCACGACTGGGGAAGACCGGGAGAGGTGATCTAGAAGCAGTGTGGTTAGATCATAGGCTCTGGAACCAGATTACCTGGGTTCCAATCCTGACTCTGTCACCTAATAGCTGTGTGACCTTAGACAAGTCACTAAACCTTTCTACACCTCAGTGTTTCATCTCTAAAATGGGGATGATAATATACCCTCCTCTTGAGGTCACTTAGAATATTAAATGACAACGCATGTAAAGTGCCCAGGATAGTGCCTGGCGGAGCACTCAACAAACATTATCACGCACCTGGTCTGCTGAAGGCTCTGGTAAGAAGCTCAGGTGCCCGTGTGATGGACGATGGACTCAGCGTGTAATTGTGGCAGGGACAAGTGGGGAGGGGCGGGGATGTGACCACATGGGTTTAACACAGGAACAAATCCCCAGGCTCTTACTGCCACTTAGAGGCTGGAAGGACAGCGAGTGGCTGTCAGTTCTCCTCAGCGCTTCCCTCCCTCGCTCATTGATCTGCTTACTCTGCAGAGTAAGCATTTGACGTCTACTCCTGGATCTGGGAGAGGCAGAAAAACCGCCGGGGCCTGAGCAGAGACCATTAAGCCAGGCCCATAAATCTGGGGCTTGTGGTCAACACGCTCCACTTCTGGCCCAACTCCAGGAATTCCTGCCGACGCAGCCACTGCCCCATTCATGAGCCGTTCATTGACTAGGGGGCAGGTTCCCCCCAGTGGCCGGAAGGAATGCACTCACGCAAGTACACATCAAGTTCCTTTCCCAGGGATGCTCAGGTAGACGACCGTTCCAAACAGCCACCTGGAGTTTCTCCCCATAGGAGGGAAGGAAAAGGGGCTAAGTATTCAGGATGTCCACAGTGATTCTTGTTCGAGGTAGTGGAATGACAAGTGCTATGTTCTGCTTCTTCCTCCAAATTTTCTGGAAATGACATAAAAGCTATAAGAAATAGGATAGATCTCTAACAGTGCTGGAAAGCAAGAAGTGGGTGCCATCAGAGGACCAGACATTTTGAGGAACCTCTGGAAAATTGTAAGCAGATGGGATTGCAATGACAGAGTAACTAGAGCAGAGAAAAACCACCTCTTAAAACTGCAAAGGGGAGAGATCTTCAGGGAGAGAGGACAGGACACCAGAAGAATAAAATAAAGGATGCAGAGCAGCCGAGAGGGCCTTTTTCCCCCACCCTTAAGTCGTCAGGGTCCTCAGCTGGCCTGCCTGCTCCATAGTCCCACACCCAAAATGTCGTGCCTTCCCACTTAGCTATTCATTTCTTGAACACTATCACAGCCCTTCTGTCTGTTTATTGAGCTGTTACTACATTCCAGGCACTTTATACACATGACCATTTTAAAACTCACAAAACCTGAGGACATAGATATTATCTCCATTTGACAGGTAAGAAAACTGAGGCTTTAAAGAAGTAAAGTAACACACCCGAGGTCACACAGCTAGTAAACAGCAGAGCAGAGGATTAAACATCACTTGACCCTCCCAACAAATTCTCTCACCTACTCCACTCTGTAGCTCTTTTGTCCATAAGGAGAGCAGATACAAACCACAAACAAAATTACAGAAAGAATATTTCACCACCCAAGAGAGCCCCTGGCTTCCCAGTGCTTCCACTCCAGCCGTTTACTAAAAACACTCATGTCTTAATTATGCAATGTTCCGCTCTAGTTATAAAAATAGCTCCCCTAAGTTCATTATTTGGAAACATTTAGCTGAAGATATTTTTATGTAACTAAGAGTTTCCATTCATTTAGAATAGCTGTACCCAACTGCACCACCTCGCAAATGAATAAGCTTTTGCTGTATAATTTTTAAAAGCTCAACAAGCGGAAGTCCTTATAAGGTACCCTGAATTTTTAGTATAAATACGAATTATATAAATAAGGAGCCCACCTGTCTGCCCTGATTGTGCCT